TGTTGACCCCAGCACCAGAGCTGCTTCATCCCAGTCCAGGCTGTGTCCACAGTGGGACTTTGGAGAGACCACCACACCTCTTGGACTTTCATCTCCATTTTCTCACTTGTGTAAGGGTACGTGGACAATGTGTGTGCAGTTTTGTGTGGACCCCTTGAAACAACATTGGAGAAGCAGTCATCATGTCCCAGCTCAGTGGCCAAGCCCAGCTAGAAGGGGCCTCCCCCTCTGTCCATGCGGTGTTGAGTCCTAGCCACTGCTCCCTCCACATTTTCTTGGACAGAGGGTCATAGTGCTCAGGGCTCCCCCTAGAAGAAGCATCCGGCTCCTTGGAAGAGGAATGATCCCACTGGTCTGGGGCCTGAGGCTGTAGGCACTGTGCAGGGCCCCTGAGCACAGCTGGCCTTGGCCACTTCCTGGGGAAGTTAGTGGAGACCTGGGGAGCAGAGGTGAGGCCTGGCTCACACTTGCTCCCTCTTGTGCTGCAGCCAAGCCAACATCCACAAGGATCAGACTTAGGACCAGAGGACTCAGCAGGCAGGGGAGACCTTTGCTGCCACCCGCAATGGGCCAGCCAAGGACCCTTGGGCCCCTGCTGCCTGTTCTCCCATTTCTCTCTCAGCTGTATTGCAACCCACCCTCCCTGGGACCCAGCAAAAGCTGTTCCTGGCCTGGGAGGAAGTGATCTGATGCAGGGCACTGTGGACCTCCTGGGATGAGAGGGCACCTCAGTCACCCTGAGCAGGAGGATGTGGGGGCCCTGGGGTGGGTGGACCAGGGGAAATCATCCCTGGCCTCAGCCATCATTAGGCTTGCAGCTCCCAGCAGGACTGCAGAGATGAGGGCTCCTTCTCCAGCCATCAGCAACATGGACACTGTGATTTCTGCTCCCAGGGACACCGATGCCTTCCTGGCAGCCACGGTGACAGGGCAGGGCCCACGCATCCTGGATGCAGAGGGTTCTTTGCAGAACAGAAAGGAGCATGGCACCATCCAAAGTCCTCAGAGCTGAGTTCCCAGGGCCCAGCATGGACATAAAGGTCAAGGGTGATGCTGCCCCTCAGGAGCATTTTGTGAGAATTTGACTGTGCAGTCTTGGCTGGGCACAAAGGAAATGTCCAGTGTGAACACAGGAGATCTCTGGAGAGTGAGGGTCTGGGGAATACCTGGGTTTCTGCACAGGTCCTGGACACTGTCCACATAAGCTGGGGACCTGCTGGCTTCCCTAGCACCACTGAATCTACATGAGGCCACATTCATACGTGGGCCCCAGAGGGGCTGCAGGGCATGACCCCTGGGGCCCAGGAGTTGGGGTCCTGGCTCAGTGACTCTCTTTCCTCTTCTTGGACAGCAGGGTGGTTCTGAACTGGAGTTGGTTTGAAGGTCTCTGTGACAAAGATGTCCTATGGGAGCTTGGTGGCACAGTGGGAACAGCCTGTGCTATGGGGCAGCTGTGGCTGGGCACTGTGGGAGTAGACTATACCGTGGGGTGGCTGTGGCTGGGCACAGTGGGAACAGCCTGTGCCATGGAGTATCTGTGGCTGGGTGTGGTGGGAGCAGCCTGTGCCATGGGGTGGCTGTGGCTGGGCGCAGTGGGAGCAGCCTGTGACATGGGGTGGCTGTGGCTGGGTGCAGTGGGAGCAGCCTGTACAATGGGGTGGCTGTGGCCAGGTGCGGCAGCTGAGAAATGTCACAGCAGGACGCCGACAACAAGAGGGAAGCAGGAGCTCCAGGAGGGCGCCCAGTGCCCATGTTCCTCTGGCCGCTCTGCAGTCCCTGTGATGTCCCCCATCCTGGAAAGCCACTCCCATCCCCTGAGAAGATGACCCCAGAGTCACTTATGATCTGAAAGTTATCTTATCTTTGACAAAGGAGCTAAAAAATTCTCTTGAAAAAGAAAAAAATCTCTTTAAAAAATGGTTCCAGGAAAGTTGGATCTCTATGTGGAAAAGTATGAAGCTACTTTACAACTTACACAAAAATCCATTTAAAATGGATCAAAGACATCAATATACAACCCAATACCTCTAAGTCATTGGGGAATCTCTGTAAAATATTGGAAGAGGCAAACACTTCTTGAGAAAGACCCCAAAAACACAGGCAATCAAAATCAAAGTTGACAAATGGAATTACATCAAGCTGAGATGCTTCTGATTGGCAAAAGAAACAGCAAAGTGAAGAGGCAACAGATAGAATGGAAGAAAATATTTTCAAATTATGTAAGTGATAAAGGGTTAATATCTAGAATCTATAAATATATCAAGAAATTCAACAACAATACAAACAATCCAATTAAGAAATGGGCAATGGACTTGAATGGGCATTTTTGAAAAAAAAATCAAATGTCCCACACACAGTTAAAAAATGTTCAGGACAGGATCACTAAACATTGTGGAAATGCCAATCAAATCCCTAAAGTTAGAATGGCTCACATACAGAAATCAACAAATATTAAATGCTGGCAAGGACACAGAGAAAAAGGTATCCTAATCCATTGTTGGTAGGAATGCAAAAGGTCCAGCCACTATGAAGACAAGAAGATACCTCAGAAATTGAATAAAAACCTAAAATAGGATCCAGCCAACTCACTCCTTGGAATTTCCAAAAATTAAAAGAAATCAGCATATGAGAGAGTTATGTGTATCCCCATGTTCACTGAAGCTCAATTAACAATAGATAAGATATGGAATCAACCCTGATGTCCATCAGTTGAAAACTGGATAAAGAAATTACGGTATATATACATTATGGAGCACTACCTAGTAGTAAAAAAAAAAAAAAATGAAATCCTGTATTTTGTAATAAGATGAATGCAACTGGAAACCATTATACTTAGTGAAATCAGGCAGTCCCAAAAAGACAGGTATCATGCATCTTCCATGATCAGTGATAACTACAATAAAATGTATTTGAATAAAATGGACATTTTGAGATTTTTTGATTTGTTAGAGCTCTTGTCTGCTTTGTTAAATAGCAATGTATTTTTCTTCATACGATTTGCTGAGCTTTTATTTAGTGTAGGGTTAAACAATTTAGTATAACAACCTTTATGAGTGAGTATAAAGTAAACTGAAAAATGATCTTTGTAAAAATTAAGTGTGGGAATAGGTGAGGGAGGAGAAGAGTTGGAGCATGAGCAGGAGGGAGGGTAGGATGGAAGTGTCACTATTTTTCTTATTTTCTATCTCTCTCTACATATATATGAAATACATGAAACCTGTACAAATTAAATAAAATTTAAAAAATTGTTTGGAAATTAAAAGGGTACAATCAAATGACCCAACTTATAGGTCTTAGGAGTTCCTGAAGGAGTGGAGAGAATGGTTTATACTGCATTTCCATAAAATAATTACAGAAAAATGCTCCAATTTGGAGAAAGAAAAGAATGTCCTAGTATGGGAAGCACACAGAACTCCTAATAGTCATGAGCAGAAAAGATCTTCACTGCAGTGCATTGCAGTCAAACTTTCAACAATAAAACATAAAGAAAAGTTTCTAAGTTCTGCATGAGAGAAATGCCAGATTATTTTCAGAGACATTCCAACTAGACCCACAGCTGACTTCTCATCAGAATCTCTATTGGCTAAGGAAGAATGCAGATACATAGTCCAAGTTTTAAGAGAAAAAAATGAAAACAGAGAATACCAGACTCTGCAAAGCTAACACTTATGAATGAAGGTGAAATAATGACCTTTCATAACAAACAGAAATTGAATTTGTCATCATTCATCCAGCCTTATGAAACATGCTTCAGGATATGCTACACACAGAAATACAGGAAGATACTCATCATTATGAAAAAATGGGAAGACAAAAAATCTCCCAGTAAAGTACAAAAGAAATCTGAAGTAAACAATAGGAGTATGTATGGAAAATCTCGGGGCCATGTTATTACTTATCAATAATAACCTTGAATGAAAGGGCCTCAGTTCTCCAGTTAAAAGATATAGACTGGTTGAAAAGATTAAAAACCAAGACTCACCAAGATGTAGCTTTCAAGAATCACACCTCACCAACAAAGACACACACAGAATGAAACTGAAAGAATGGAAAATGATATTTGATGCTAATGGAAAGCAAATAAGAGCAGTTATAAAAATCCTAATATCAGACAAAATAGACTTTTAAAAAAACCTGTTAAGAGCAACTGAGAGGGACACTATATAATGATTAAGGGATCAACTCAACAGGAAACTGTGACTACAGTAAATGAATATAAGTCCAATTATAAGGTACCTGGTACCTTATAATACCTGGTACCTTATAATACCTTAAATACCTGGGTATTTAAAAGAAATATTAATGAGTTCAAAGAGAAGCAAAGACTACAATAGTAATGGAGGACTTTGACAAGCCACTTTCATCAATGGACAGATCTACTATACAGAAAATCAACAAAGAAATGACAGTTAATTGACACAAGGGACCAAATGGATCTAACTAAAATCTGCAAAATTTTTCATTCCATAGTTAAAGAATACTCATTCTTTTCATCAGCCCATGGGACTTTCTCTAGAATAGATCATATGCTAGGCAATAAAGCATATCTCAACAATATACCATGCATCATCTCATACCACAAAGGAATGGGGTTGGAAATCAAGAACTCAAGAAGCTCCAGAACATATGTGAATACATGGAGGATGAACAACATGCTCATGAATGAATAGTAGGTAACAGAAGAAATTTTAAAAATAAAAAAATCCAGTAACAAATGAAGATGATAATATATCAAAACTTATGAGATGTAACAAAAGCAGGGTTAAGAGAGAAATTTATAGCAATTGGTGCCTACATCAATGAATTGGAAACATACCAAATAAATAAGCTATCAATGCATCTCAAGGACCTAGTAAAGCAACAACAAAACAAACTCCAAATCATTAGGAGGAAATAATTAATATTAGGGAAAAATAAACATGATTGAAACCAAAAATACAAAAGATCAGCGAGATGAAATCAAAACAGCCTGGTATTGGTAAAAAAAAGAGAGAGAGAGAGAGAGAGAGAGAGAGAGAGAGAGAGAGAGAGAGATGTAGACCAATGGAAGGAGTAGAAACTTCAGAAATCATCCATGCATCTGCAACTAACTGATCATTGACAAAGGAGCTAAAATAAATCCTTGAATCAAGGGCAGTCTCTTCAACAAATGATGCTGGGAAAACTGGATCTCCACATACAGAAGTATGAAACAAAACCCCTACTTTACACCTTACACAAAAATCCATCCAACATGGATCAAAGACCTAAATCTATGATATGACAAAATACCATCAAATTACTAGAGTATACATTGGAGGAACTCTGCAACACATTGGCAGAGGAAGAATCTTATTGGAAAAGATCCCAAAAGCACAAGCAATCAAAGCCAAAATTGACAAATGGGATTACACCAAGTGGAGCAGCTTCTGCTCTGCAAAGAAAAAACTCAGCCAAATGAAGAGGCAACTGACAGAATGGGAGAAAACATTTGCAAACTAGTAATCAGAATACACAAAATGTCAAGAAATATAACAAGAAGAAAACAAATAATCTGATTAAAAAGGGGACAAAAGTCTTGAACAGCCTTTTTGTCAAGAGAGGAAATTCAAATGGCAATAAACACATAAAATAATGTTCAGGATCACTAGCCATTAGAGAAATGCAGATCAAACTACAATGATGTTTCACCTCACCGCAGTTATAATAGCTCCAATATAGAAATCAGCAAACAACAAATTCTGGCCAGGATGAAGGAAAAAAATCCTTAACTATCCTAATCCATTGTTGATGGGAATGTAAACTGGTACAGTTACATTAAAAAAATCATTATATGAAAAATTTATCTGTACCCCCATGTTCAATTCAACTCAATCTACAAGAGCTAAGATATGAGATCAACCCAGATGTCCATCAGTTGAAGACTAGATAAAGAAAATGTGGTATATATAACCAAGGAATACTACACATGTTCAAAAAAAGTGATATCCTGTTGTCTGAAAAAAAGGATGCAACTGGAAATCATTATACTTAGTGAAATAAGCCAGTCACCAAAAGAAAAATATCATATATTATTTCTGATCTGTGGTAAGTAAGAGTACCTAAAAAGTAATCTATAGGAAGGAAGTTGACGTTTTTAATTCAGTGATTTTTCTTAAAGAACTGTTTTATTTATTTGAAAGACAGATTTAGAGAGATAAGAGCCAGAGAGAGGTGTTCCATTCCACTGGTTCACTCCCAAAATGACTGCAATGGCCAGAACTGAGCTGATCCAAAGTCAGGAGCCAGGAGCCTCTTCCAGTTCTCCCACGCAGGTACAGTGGCCCAAGGACTAGGGCCATCTTCTACTGTTTTTCCAGGCCACCACCAGAGAGCTGGTGGAAAGCAAGACTCCAAGCCAGAAAATGTACAATCACTTGGCATAAGAAATAATGCCATCATCAGTCAACAAACTAACCAATGCCTCTTTCAATAGAACCCATAACTCATGTAGGAAATGAACTCCAAAACAAAAATTCAAGGAATTAGTGGATTTCTGACAATAACTGTTCTCTCCCTGTCCCTGAGGATTGTTTGTAAATAAAATATATCACAATGAACTTTAGAAGAAAGAAATTTATTCAGGCATCAGTGATTAGAAACATTGGAAAAGCAAAAATGACATAAAACAAATAAACCAAAAGAATCATATTCCATCCATATTTAAGAAATGGCTTCCAGAGGCACATCACATTATTTATATTCCAACAATGATAATTATAGGAAAATAATTTTCATCTTTTAATACTTAGATATGGATCAGGGAGCTAATTGATCCATCTGTTGTTGACCCTACTAGCAAGTTTCTGTCAAGTTTCCCAGATATGATCAGTTTTTTTTACTTCTACCACCATTTTGTGCTCATGTTTCATGAAATTCCAGTCACCTCCAGGTTGGCAGCAAGAGAATCTGGTTACCTATTGTTACTGTCAAAAATGTTCCAAGCTTAATGACTTAAAAAAAGGAAACTGTATACTGTCACTATTTGAAGGATAAAAGTGAAATCACTCTCTCTGGCTCAAACTGAAATGCAGGGAGTAAGGTCTGTGCTCCAGCCAGTATCTACAGAATAATCTTTTCATTGCCAACTCCAGCTTCTGGTAGCCTCTGTCTTTATGATTATATCACTTTCATCTTTGCCTTCATGATGACATTGATTTTCATTTTCTTTGAGTATAAACCTCCTTTTGCCTTTGGATTGTGAGCACACATGTGATTCCAGCCAGGACTACATGGAAAACCCCAGTTAACACAATCCAAAGGTCTTTAACACAATCACATATATAAAATATTTGGACATAATACTCCCACCTTCCATAAGAAATGCACCAACTTAGTTGGGGGCCTAGAAAAAGTCCTCAGCCATACAATATTACGGAAAATTAGTTCTGAGTAAGATGGAAGCCAACCCAGACAAAATAGCAGTCCAGCAAATTACTTGACCACACTGAAACTGCCAACAGCCACACCATTCACTTTCTTTTAAATTTCTGATTATACTAAGATTTGATTTGATGAAGACTTGAAAGAAGCTGAAGCACTTGAACAGGGACAATGAGCTTTGCCCAATGGGCAGTAATGGAGGTAGAAGGATGATATACAGGATTGTCCTCCAGATGGGAAATAAAAGAGACATTACAGTTAGATGATATCATAGCATTTGTAGCCCATCTATCATGGAATAGTCACGCAACTTGGGTAGACTGTCCATCCTAAGTATATCCTGAGGTCTGAACTGAATGTAAATCTGATTAAAATCCAGAAAGGACTGTATAAATTGGGAAAGGAAGAAAACACACATTTTCAATAAAACTGAGGGTCACTTTTAGCAGTAGGGAGTAATACAACTCAAATCCTTGTCTCTGGGCAAGAAATTAAAGGAAGAAAGAATAAAATAGGGGATCATAAATGAAATATTTCAAAATGGATTGCACACTCAGTAATACAGGAAAATTTAGGAGATAAAGTCTTGCAATTTATAGGATTTGAGATACTCCCATTATAGAATGAGGGTGATGTGTGCAAAAACTCCTACTTGAATATACAAACAGACCACAGGTAGTATAGTCTAATCCAGAAATGCACACATATAACTTGGAAGTTCACATGAGTATACAGGTGACCACATGCTCATTCCCTATACTGGATGAAACACTCATCACCCAGGGCTGGAGTACAGAATTATGGCTGGAACATGTGTCAGTTCATATGCCTGTGGTCATATCACTTATTTGTACTACAATACTACAATGATGTGGAGAAAGAATCCTAGGCAGGCAATAACACTGCTATACAACAATAACTTTGCAATTGGTAAAGATATTCCAAGTAACTCTTACAATAACTGTTGAATCAACTGTTGCAACTGTTGAATATTTGTTAGCAAAATTTACACATGGAAGCATGGTTAGCCCATCTCAGTCACAATTCATCATGTGAATTGCCTAACACTTGATGAGGTGTGGTTGTATCTAAGAATTCTTCTAGACACATGACATTTTCAGAGACTTCTCCCTGTAATCTTGCTAAATTTTGCAGAAGCTTGCCTTACAGTTAAGGTTTTTCCAATTGCATTACAGTCAAAGGATTTTCCTTTTGGTGAGCTCTCAGTTAACTATTGAGAGATGGCTTATGGGAATCTCATTTCTGAGTCACTTCTTGTGAACTGAAGACTGATTTTTTAAAGCATTCCTTATATTTTTTTTTCTTTATGGATTCTTTGATATCTATTGATATCTAATTTCTGGCTGAAGGTTTTCTCATATTTACTGCATTTGAAGGTTCCTCTTTTATGAATTCTGTACCAATGTAAGCATGAATCCCAGGAAAATACTTTTCTACACTCATTACACTTGTAAGAAACCCCCTGTGTGAATTCTTTGATTATAACAATTGATTTCTGATGAATGGCTTTTTTCACACTAATAACATTCATTAGCTTTCTCCCTTACATGAGTCCCAATTGTATGGGGGCATGGTTTCTAACAAAAGGCTTTGTCACAAGATTACATTGCTTTTGGGAAAAAGCTCTTCCATGTTCAGTATATTCTTAAACTCTTTCCTTTGTTTGAATTCCATGATGTGTTGTGAGGCATTACTTCTGACAAAAGGATCTCTTACATTTATGACATTCAAAAGTTTCTGTGAATTCTCTGATGTTATAAGGTGTGATTTTGGCAAAGAGCTTTCCAACATTCATTACATTCATAAGGTTTTTCCCCATGTAATGTCTGATGTCTTAAGAGGTATGACTTCCAGATAAAGGCTTTTTCACATACATTACATTCAAAAGGGTTTTCTCCTATATGAATTTGATGATGTGCAATTAGGGTTGAATTATAGTTAAAAAGTTTGAGTCATTACATTCATAAGTTTTCTCCCCTGTGTGAATTCTCTGGTGCATTGAGTTCTCACTTATTGCCAAAGGCTTTTCCACATTCATTACATTCATAAGGCTTCTCCCCTGCGTGAATTCTCTGGTGTTCAAGGAGGTCTGATTTTTGGCCAAAAGCTTTTCCATTAGTCATTAGCTTAATAAGGTTTCTCACCTGTGTGAATTCTCTGGTGTGTAGGAGTTGTGCTTTTTCATAAAAGGCTTTTTCAGTCATTACACTCATGACAATTCTCTCCTTTGCTAATTCTCTGACACACTGAGTTGTGACATATTTCCAAAGGCTTTTCCTCAGTCATTACATTCATAAGGTTTCTCCCCTGTGTGAGTTTTATGATGTATTACTAGGCTTGCCCTCAGGAAAAAGTATTTTCCAGCCATTACATTAATAGGGTTACTCTCCTGTGAGACTTCTGATGTCTGCCAAGGTTCGGCTGATTGCCAAAGGCTTTTCCACAGTCACTACACTTATAGGGTTTTTCACCTGTGTGAGTTCTCTGATGCGTTATGAGGTTTGACTTCTGGCCAAAGGTTTTTCCACAGTCACTACATTCATAAGGTTTCTCACCTGTGTGAGTTCTCTGATGCATTCTGAGGCTTGACTTCTGGCCAAAGGCTTTGCCACAGTCATTACATTCATAAGGTTTCTCCCCTGTGTGAATTCTCTGATGCATTATTAGGCTTGTCTTCTGGCCAAAGGCTTTTCCACAGTTATTACATTCATAAGGTTTCTCCCCTGTGTGAATTCTCTGATGTCTAATGAGGTCTGGCTGATTGCCAAAGGCTTTTCCACAGTCATTACATTCATAAGGTTTCTCCCCTGTGTGAATTCTCTGATGAATCATTAGGTTTGATTTGTGGCCAAAGGCTTTTCCACAGTCATTACATTCATAAGGTTTCTCTCCTGTGTGAATTCTCTGATGCATTATAAGACTTGATTTCTGGCCAAAAGCTTTTCTACAGACATTACATTCATAAGGTTTCTCTCCTGTGTGAATTCTCTGATGAATTATGAGGCTTGACTTCTGGCCAAAGACTTTTCCACAGTCATTACATCCATAAGGTTTCTCCCCTGTATGAATTCTCTGATGCATTATGAGGTTTGACTTCTGGCCAAAGGCTTTTCCACAGTCAAAACATTTATAAGGTTTCTCCCCTGTGTGAATTCTCTGATGCATTGTGAGGTTTGACTTCTGACCAAAGGCTTTTCCACAGTCATTGCATTCATAAGGCTTCTGCCCTTTGTGAATTCTCTGTTGATTACTGAGGTCAGATTTGTTCAAAAAGTCTTTTCCATAGTCATTATATTCATGAAGTTTCTCCTCTGTGTGAATTCTCTGTTCTGTTATGAGGTATGGTTTTGGGAAAAAGGCTTTTCTACTATCAATACACTCATGAGGTTTCATCTGTATGTGAATTTTCTGTTGTCTAATGTAATCTGACTCCTGGTGAGTGGTCTCTCCACATTCAATACACATATTGGGGTTTCCCTGTGTGTGAGTACTGTGATGGATGCTATGGCAGGAATTACAACTGAATGATTTTTCACAGGGTTTACCTGCACAGGGTTTTTTCTCCAAATGCGGTCTCTGATTTATGGCAAGATGTGATCGGTAAATAACAGGCTCCACATACCTAACATATTCATAAAATTTATCTCTTGTGTGGGTTTGTTGATGTGTACTGAGGTTAGAGCTTTCGTGGAAAGCATTTACTATTTGAGTTGCCTTTCCAACAGTGATAGCTGACTTATTACAGGTTTCTCCCTTACAAACCCTCTCAGATTTACAGAACATCTTCCTTGTGAAGACTTTCCCTTGTCCAATATGCTCAGATGTCTGCTTCACAGTCTGAATCTTGTGACACTGACTAAGAGGCTCATAGAACTGGAGAGAGTTCCCAGGCACCTTAGTGGCATCAAATTTCTCTTCAGCTTGCAGTTGATCAGACCCACTTTGGGGATACACATTGTGACATATATTGCATTCTTTGGGTTTCATTCTTAAATAATTTCTCTTTCTGATAATTAGTTTGGGAATATGGCTTGAAATTAAATTAAATATTTTTCTTAATTCAACTATCTTTGGAGTTGATGTCTTGTTATTTTTCTTGACATTAAGATTCAGACTTTTGTCCTGACATTCCTGGCTGTTCCTAACCAGGTCATCACTTTTCACAGCAACTGAAATGAGAAAAAAACAAACAACCACTTCACTGAATCACATATAACTTTCTCCTTGCTAACTTATGTAAATGGAAAGTTACTTTGTATTCAAATGGCATAAGATATTAACAAAATTAATACGAGAAACTTAGTTATGGTCATTATATGGTTTTTCTCCTTAATATATTAATATATTGAATTGCATCAATAGGTCTCCCAAAGTTCAATCACGATCTTGTTCACTACCTGAATTCTGTTCAGGTATGGCAGAATGGCTTTTGTGGTAAGATGTATTAACTCTGCTTGGGATGCCTGCACCCAAAAGCAGTGCCGGTTTGAGACCTGACTCCTCTGCCTCCAATACAGCTCTGCTTTGAATACAGCTCTCTGCTTATGTAACCTGGGAGGCTGCAGATGATGGTTCATGTGCTTGGGACCCTGTGATGCACCAGAGAAGACTAGATAGAATTCCAGACTATTGGCTAAAGACTAGTCAGACCTAACTGTTGCAGTCATTTCCGGAGTGAGTTAAAAGATTTCTCTCTCCTCTCATTGTCATTCTGCTTTTCACAGAGATGAAACAACTACACAAGATTTCAATGAGTGGACAAATATTTAGCAAAAATTTTCACCCATTGCCTAGCAACAATTTTTTTCCTTGGGCTTTTGCTACAGTTTATATTTTTAAAAATTGTGTATTTTGTGCTTCTCTAATATTTCAGGCAGAAATATGAGAAAGTTTTACTGGATCATTTACTTTAAGGTGAAGAAGAATGAAATGTGCTTGTATTCTAAACAGGACCACATTTAAGGAGCAGTATTTGAATGTATGATTGCCTCATGTTCAGTCTTCCCCAGGAAATAGCATTTGTAGGATTTTTCAAATGAAAAACTCTTTTGTTTGCACTTTCTGACAGCTTCCCCATATTCCTAAGTAAATCTGACATCTTCAGCGTCTCATATTTGCTACTGGTACAGAAAAGCCACAGTATACTATCTTGGGTATAAACTTCCTACCAATTTAAAGAATATGTTTCTACAACCCAGGGTGTGTTCACGTTTTTGAAGTCTTTGCTAACTCATTCTGAAAACACCAACTGTGGTTATCTCCTCTCAATTCTTTCTATAAACATTCCTCTGTGATAATTTGAGTTTCTGGAGGCTTTTGATTAATTGTCTCCTATTTCCACAGAAAACTTCATTTCCTATGCTGTTTTGTCATTTTCTTGTTTCTCAATAATGACAATGAAAAATAAGAATTCATAATTCAAACTCTTCTCCCAAACAAATCTGAGCCATTCAACATGAATCTATAACATTAGTTGACCTTGGAATTGAGAAACTCATGAATTTCTTGGTGAGTCTAGGATCACTTATTTTCATGTTCCTATACAAGTTCATGCTTAGCTTTATGATTTTTGATGTCACAGTACAGAGGCTTACTCCTGATCATCTTTTAGCATTTACTCATTTATTTACTTCAAAGCCAAAGAGACAAAGATTGAGGCACAAAGAGAATAAAAGAGAGGGTTGCCAGCCACAGGCTCACTCCTCGAATGTTTCCAACAATCTATCATTTTCTTATTTATTTGAGAGGCCTAGAGAAAGAACAAAAGGAAAAAGAGACAAAGAAAGAGAGCTCACAATTATTGGTGCAGTTATAAGATGCTTAAAATAGCAAGGTCTGTGCCTGGCCAAAACCATGAGCAATAAGTAAGAAAAAAGTTTCTATAACTGTGCAATTAGCAACCACTGAAGGAATTAATAAATGCATGAAGGAAAAGATATGAAAGTGTGGAGAATGACAAGTTAGAATTTATAGAATGAATCTAACCTGGAAAAAAGCCTTAGTAACACCAGAAAAGCATTGGAATTTTTTTTTAATACAAAGAACATCTTCACCAAGAAAAAAAGAGACAGACATTGGTATCCCTAGATATTCTAGAATACCAAATATACAAATCCGGCTTTCATCAGGAGAAAGATTTAAGAAAAATTCATGGAAAGAACACCAGTCAGCATCTGATGCACTGCTTCTACTTTGGCCTCCCTGCCCATTATGTGCAGACTGACCTGGAAGACTCTGATGTAGGCATTCTTCCCCCATCCAGGGCTCTGCTCCTTGCTCCAACTTCAAGATCAAGTCAGGTTTGGTCATGCAGTGCCCTATTAATGGAAACAATGTCAGATTTTGTGAACTCACAATCTTGGGTTATTTAAGACTACAGCTTGGTCCAGGTGCTCTGCAACAAAGGTACCAATTTGAACCCTTTCTTGATGTTAGAAATTCAGATTATTCATGTTCTCAAATTCTACACCTTCCAAACATTATAAAGTGCTTATTTATTTGTCAAAGAGCAAAAAAATGTTACCATTGGGAATGTGATGGGTGTCACTCACCCAAGGAGAACAGGATGCTGTAGGTCTCCAGCATCACATCCCTGTACAAGATTTTTTGAGCATTGTTCATGTTCTGCCATTCTTTCCAGGTGAAATACACAGCCAGGTCTTCAAATCCTATCATCACCTGCAATAGAACACTTCCGGTCATCATATGAACTCTGTCACAAAACAAACAATGAAAGTTTTATATCTTGTATACAGGTATGAAGGAAGAAGGAAGGATGTGGTTTCATTTTAGATTTGAGCATTTGGACAACCACATTAGAAGCATTAAACAGGGAGTCAAACTATTGTCTGAAAGCTGTGAAAAATGCCCAAGCTAGAGGGAAAGAGGACTTTCAGATCAAAAGGGCTACATCTGTCAAGGGGATTACATAACAGGCTGAAAGGGGGATAATACTGACTTTTGAGTGAGCAATGTTAAAGTGAAGAATTTAGAAGTATGTAGGAAAAAAGACAAGATCCTATCAGTGAAGCTTTAATGAGAATGAACACAGAAGAATTTCCAGGAAAACATCATCCACAGTCACTTCAAATATGGCAGAGGAGAAATAATTCAAAGGGAGGGCAGGCATTTAGTTTAGTGTTTATGACGCCAGCTGAGAAACCCTACTTCAGAGTGCCCAGGTTGGATTTCCAGTGCCTGTTCTAGTTTCCAGCTCCCAGCTAATGCAGAACTGGGGAAACAGTAGTGATGCCATCAATGAGGCAGGCCTAGACTCCATTCCTAACTCCTGGTTTCAATCCTGCCCACCTCTGCGTGGTATCATTATTTAGGGAGTGAATACATGCATGGGAGCTCTCTCTCTCTTTCTGTCCATTAACTTCTTCTGCTATCAAGTTCATAAATATTTTTAAATAAGAGAGAACATTCATTTAAGACAGACAATAGAAAATAGCTTTTGGCTTTGTCTATGACTATTCTACTGATGAACATCTGAGGAACTGAAATAACATTACGTCAAATTAAAGGAAAAGAATGGAATTATTTGCCCAAAAACAGTACTTGGGGAAGTCCACACTACAATCTGCATTTCTGACTAATTGAGAGAAATGCATAAAGATTTGTTTAAGAAACTGCAGTAGGCACCAGCAATGTGATGTAGCAGGTTAAACCTCCATCTGCAATTCTGTCATCCTTTGTGAGCTTACAATTTGAGTCCTGCCTCTCCATTCCAACCCAGCCCCATTGCTGATATACCTGAAAGAGTACTGAAAGACAGGCTGAGTATTTGGGCACCATCCCCTAATATGGGTGACCAAGATGGAGTCCCAGGCTATTGGTTTAGCCTGACCCAGTCCCAGCCATTGTGGCCATTTGGAAAATGGAGCAGAAAGATGGAAGTTATCTTTTTTTCTCTCCCCCCAGTCTCTCCCAATCTATGTAACTTTGCCTTTCAAAAAAATAAATAAATAAATCTTAAAAATACAAAATAACCTGCACTAGACTCTTTTTCCCACATTTTGGATCCTATACCTGAATCAAGTTCATCTCTTCTAAACTATTAAAGACTGCATTACTCTAAAAATTCAGAAACGAACTTAACTGATCTGTGTTTTAGTACCAGGCAATTTTTACCTTTGTAGAATGCTAACTGTTTATTTTCAGGGTAGCACTAAAACACTGACCACTACATCATGTATGTGACAATAAAGACAGTTTTTGACATCATGATCCAAAAAATTTTGGATATTTTGCACTGAGGTTTAACTCAAACATGTAATATATATTTTGTCATGGCAACAGAAAGAAAAGAGACCAAATTGCCCTATCTTAGATGAATGCAATGTTTCATAACCATGCCACATTTGTCATTCATCTTATTTGTGGATATTCTCTGAGAATAAAATTATGTTTATTTTCCTTTTTAATTAATAAACAATTATAGATTTCCTTAAATAAAAACTGACTATAAGCTGAGGAATAATTAAGAAATCCGCTTCCAGGTGATGTATTTTCTTTGCTCTTGGAAATATGTGAAGGTGCCCAGAGTCACACCTGGAAGAGAAAGCACTGTAAACAAATTTTGTAAAATAATGAGATAATAGTAAAAAAAAAAAAAAACTATAAGGGCGACTACTCAAATAAAGGAGGTTATCAAAGAGATAAACATTATGTTGTCACTAAAATTTATTTTTTTAAGATTTTATTTATTTGATGAATGCAATTTTTACATAGATACAACTTTAGGAATCCAGTGGTTCTTTCCCTCATGCCCCCTACCCTGCTCCCTTCCCACCTCCCATCACCTTCATTATGGATAATTTTTAGTATGACTTTATATATAGAGGACCATCTCTATGTTAATCATAGAGTTCAACAATTTGCCCCCACACCCACACACAATATATAGAGTACAGTTTGGGGAGAGAATCTGCAGTTGATTCTCATATTGCAATTCATTAGGGACAGATGTCCTACCTGGGGAGCAAGTGCACACTGACTACTATTGTTCCTTTAACAATTAACACTTTTTTTTTATGATGTCAGTGATCACCCGAGGCTCTTGTTGTGAGCTGCCATGGATATGGAGCCCTTTCATGACCATAGACCCTGTCATTATTTGGACACAGCCATTAGCAAAGAGAATGTTCCCCTCTCCCTTCAGAGAAGAGTGTCTCCTTCTTTGATGACTCTTCCTTTCCTCTGAGGTCTCGCAGAGATCCTCAGTATAGGTTTTTTTTTTTTTTTTTCTTTTTCCACAAAGTCTTGTCTTTCCATGCCTGAGATGCTCTTTCAGGCCTCTCAGCCTTTCACTAAAGTTTACACAAAAGAAGTTATTTTGAATTTTCTCTTTTTCTATGATTTCAAAAGTACCATACAGGATTCCATATATGTGTGTACACTAGAAAACTTCTTGTATTTTTAGACCTGAAAGTCTATAGAAAGTATGTAACTTACACTTCATATTTTTGGCCAAAATTGCATTGGAACAACCATACATAATATATATTTAATGTAGTATACTTTTCCAGAATGATTTCAAATAACATCATTCCCTGTATCCATCCCTTCACAAGACCTTGGATTTCACCATTTCACTTCCTTCACCTATGAGACATCAGGACATGCGAGAAGCACACATTGTAAAGCATTTGCCTTCTCAGGTTTTCCTTTTTGACACAGTTATCTTCTGGAAAACCCTGGGGCCTGCTTGTGGAAGAGATAAGATCTAGCCAAGATTCACTACAAAGTACCAATTGAGTGACTGCTCCCTTTCCAACTTCCTGCAAAATCACATACTGAAAAACACCTCCCAGGAAGCAATGCCTCAAGTAGGTGAAGGCCTTTGAGCCATATCAGAAATTTGAATTGAGTTATTTTTAAACAAAATTACTTATTTGAAACACACACACACACACAGAGAGAGAGAGAGAGAGAGAGAGAGAGAGAGAATCTTCCTTATCCCACAAACTTCCAACCTAAATTCACCACAAATGTGCTCAGTTTCAGTAGACATGCTTACTGTGGACATGACATGTAGTGGAAGATGGGATCTATGTGTTCCCTTGACAAATACATAGCCTCCATCATTCAGATAGGACAGGGCACTACCTCTCAGCCACATTCACCCAGAACGTATTCTTGGCAACAGGTAACTGGAGTCAGAACAAATGACGATGCCTTGCCCTTCAGTTGGTGGCAGAGATGAGAGGATTCCTGATGTTTCCATTTCATTGTGTCACAACAGGGGATAAGAAAGCAGACCAGGTTTCAAACAGCACCAAGTCTCTTTGCTCTTACTTTCTGTGGTATTTCTTTACTTCCCGTATGTCTTTGGGAGTTTACAAGAATAGCTTCTTATTTAGATTTTAAGTAATCCTCATCAATACTAAAAAATGTGTCCCCACTGCTACACACTATCATTTCCAAATTCTATGAATCATTCAATTTTAATGCTTATATGCTTAATTATTAATTATATTTGTAATTGCCACATACTAATGACAAATTAGCTTAAAAGAATTGAACTCAATAAAATGTAAGTCTCATAACTGATCCATGATATTATTTCTATGTTTTGGAGGCTTTGCAGAGGTTGATTACATGTGCCACTAAAATGCAAATTCATGTCCACTAAACTGGTGAAATCCAGTGCATGTTTTGAAAAATACACATAGTGATAAATTTGGAAAAGCTGTAAAGTACTACAAGTGGTTGTCAAAGAGCTGAAAAACCCACAATGACTCACTATGTCATTAATTTAGTATCTAGTGCTGAGAAAATCAGCAGTATTTGTGAAAATTTTGCTACAATGCATTACATTTATGATTTTCATGATCTACCTTTCCTATGTATAATGTAGTCCTGTGCTAGCTTTGAGTAACCAAACTTTAAAATGTGAAGGTTTTTCAATATTTTATAAAGATTTATTTTTTATTTGAGAAGCAGCTATGGACATAAAGAAGGAGAAGCAGAAAGAAGGGTCTTCTATCCACTGGTTTGCTCCCCAAATGGCCACAATGGCTGGAGCTGGGATGATCCAAAGCCAGGCGATAGGAACATCCTCTAGGTCTGCCACATGGTTGCAGGGGCCCTAGAACTTGGGCCATCTTTCACTGCTTTCTTGGCCATTACCAAGAGCAGAACTGGAAGTGCAGCAGCTGGCACTTGAATTGGCACCCATATGGGATTCTGGTGCTGCAGTTGAAGACCTAACATACTATGCCACAGCATTAACCCAGTGAATGGTTTTGGGAAGACATTCTTCATGTAGCATAGTCTGTAATAATGAAAGGTAAGATTTAGGTTTTATTTTCCACACATCAGTATTTATCTTTTAGCAACTATAAATATTGAATATCATATATATATATATATATATACACATATTTTTGTAGTTGCAGATTCTGTTGTCATTCTTTCCAGTACTCTTTTTAATGGTTTGCTAATTTGCCACCTTATGGTTATTATATTGATGTTACCTATAGGTAGCAATCATTAGGCATTTCCACTGTAGTATGTATTTATATGTGCAAGATTCTTTATTTCTGTGTGTGTGTGCATGCATGCACAACTTTCAATGGAGTTAGTACTGAAAGTAATACTGTAAGAATCCTAACACTCATTTCAAAATCTCTATCCTCCCCAGAGATGGCTGTCTGTGAGTCAGACCATGTAGCCCCTTTAAGTGTTATAGACTGAAATGTGCCACCCTAAAACTCATACCTTTAAGTGCTAACTGCCAATATGACTCTACCTGGAGAAATTGCTTTTGAGCAGATCAACTAATATATATGTGAGGTCCATTGACAGAAAGTCCTCTAGAAAAAAATCAAGCTTGTTATGACTTTGACCTTGTGTCTTCAATCTCCACAACTCTGAAAAGTAAATTTCTCTGATTAAAATCACACTATCTGTGGTATTTTGTTAGCAAACTAATACAGCCTCATTTCTGCAGTCATTTCCTGCAGTCACCTAGAAGGTCCCCACAATTATCAGGAAAACATAGAAATTGAAACTATGACTTCAGTTGGCCAAACATCTAGAAACACAATAAAGATATCAGATAAGTACCCTACTATCCTTCTCAATGACCCAGAAAAAACAAGAATGAGTCAAATCCAAGGGCAGTAAAAAAGTGAATAATAAAGATCAAAGCAGAAATAAATAAGGAAGAATCTTAAGCAATACTAAAAGTAAATAAAATGAAGAGGGACCAGCATTGTGGTATGGCAGGTAAAGCCACCGCCTGTAGTGCAGGCATTCCATATGGGAGCCAGTGCAAGTCCTGGCTGCTCCACTTCTGGTCCCGTTCTCTGCTATGGCCTGGGAAAGCAGTAGAAGATGGCCCAAGTCCTTTAGCCCCTCAACCCATATGCGAGACCTGGAAGAAGCTCCTGGCTTTGGATCAGTGCAGCTCTGGCCATTGAGGCCATTTGGGCAGTGAACCAGTAGATGGAAGACTGCCTCCCTCTCTCTCTCTCTCTCTCTGCCTCTACTTCTCTGTAAGTCTGCCTTTAAAATAAATAAATCAATCCTTAAAAAAATGAAGAGCTGGTTCTTTGAAAAAAATAATTTTTCTAACTAAATTAAGAGAAACAGGAAATGATTCAAATGAATAAAAGTGAAGAAGAAAAGAAATAATATCTATTCAAACAGGAAAGTAAGAATTTAAATTTATATTTCTGTTTGCAGATAACATGGTTCTATATGGGAATAAATCTAAGAACATCATCAAGAGAATTCTGGAACTGATAAATGAATTTAGTAAAATTGACAATACAAAATGAATTCAGTAGCACTTTGGTATATAATAGTGAACTCAGTGGGAAACGAATTTTAAGGACAAACATATTCATAATTGTCACAAGAAAATAAAATACCATGCAATAATTTTAACCCAGGATAAGAAAGCCTTCTACAATAAAACCACAAAACAATGATGAAAAAATTATATATAAAAATTGGAAAGTTTTCTCTTTATCCTAGATGGAAATAATTTGTATGATTGAAGGAGGTAAAGAAACTCTTACTTTTTTCCTAATGAATTTGTTAGATTCTTAACCAGTGCCTGTTAGCCTTGCACAAACTTTTTTAAAAATTCTTTTTATTTTTATTTTTTTTTGACAGGCAGAGTTAGTGAGAGAGAGAGAGACAGAGAGAAAGGTCTTTTTTTCATTGGTTCACCCCACAAGTGGCCACTACGGCTGGTGCATTGCAGCTGGCGCGCTGCACCGATCCAAAGCCAGGAGCCAGGTGCTTCCTCCTGGTCTCCCACGTGGGTGCAGGGCCCAAGGACCTGGGCCATCCACCACTGCACTCCCGGACCACAGCAGAGAGCTGGACTGGAAGAGGAGCCACCAGGACAGAATCCAGTGCCAAACAAGGACTAGAACCCAGGGTGCCAGTGCCTCAGGCAGAGGATTAGCCAAGTGAGCCATGGTGCCAGCCCACAAACTTTTGTATCACACTACTTTCCTTCTGCTGAACTTCTATTTAGTCTCTTCTCTGTGGCTTGCAAAAATAGTATATCTGCTGTATATCAAGGATTTTTT